AAACAGCGGCCTCTAAGGACCAAAACCAACGTTTTGGCTGATGAGTTTAAGTCAGAAAGTCCAGTGTGAAACAGTTCAGTAATTTTTATCTATTACTGAAATATATGGAACTTGAAAATAATGACTAATTGAAAGCAATATATTTTACTAAATAAATTATATTTATTTTTGATTACTTAATTTTTACTTTAGAACTGTTAATTGTATTTTAATAGATATAATTAGTGCTTATCTCTTTATTGCGTAAGCAGTTAAAAATGAGAATAACTAAGCCTAAGTAATGATGATAGTAAGTAATCTGACACAAACTAAAATTTAGCTTGTGTTAAATTTAAATAAAATAAGCTATAAAAAAAAGATAAATTTATTTATTTGTAAAATGTGGAGTTCGAGAAATCGTAATGTGGGGTTTTAACTATTAGTTTTTAAACGTAATATGCTAAGCTTATGATTTAATTATCTTTAAATAGCATAGAAGTAAATATTAACTAGATTATCAAAAATGTGTATTTAACAGCGGATATATAAGGTTATTGGGGGTCGCTCCTTAATGACTGGAAAATGAATATCTAATAACTTTAAATATACTTCTCAATAAAAATTTATTTTAATAAATTTTGTATTCCAAAAAAATATTGCCACTACCGTACCCTAAACCGACACAGGTTCGTAGGTAGAGTATACTAAGGCGTAGAGCTAAAAGTTGTTAAGGAACTCGGCAAAAACTCCTCATAAGTTTGACGACAAGAGGAACCTATATGCTACAAATTACGTTTGCTAATTTGTAAAACAAGTAGGTGTCACAAAATCGGAAGCCCCGACTGTTTACTAAAAACATAAATCGCTGCAATCATGTAAATGATAGTATAGCGATTGAAATTTGCCCGATGCCATTAACTAAAGAGAGGTGATAGGAAACTGTTACTGATTAAACGTCTGGTTAATAGCGGTCTTAACTATGAGGATCCTAAGGTAGCAAAATAAATTGGCCATTAAATGTGGTCCGGTATCAATAATGTAACGATGGCTTCACTGTCTCTACAACTTGCTCAGTGAAATTGAATTACCCGTGCAGATGCGGGTTATCTGATGGGGGACGGGAAGACCCTAGCAACTTCTACTGTAGTTAGTCACCACGTTAATCTAGAACAATCATTGCTACATAGTGATTAGGGATGTCAACTGACGAATAGTGGAATACCTTAGAGCTTTGATTGGGTTTTCGTTTACCTTGTATTTTCTAAATGAAAAAAGGAACAGCTGACTAATTGGCAGTTTGACTGGGGCGGTCGTCTTTAATAGAGTAGCAAAGTACATCCAAATAGATTAAAATTTATCATAATATATTTATATAAAGTGAAATCACCAAAAAATTAATTAAGATGGTTAAATTTTAAATTTAACTATCTTGTAACAAAATTACAAAATATTCAGAATTAAGGTATGCTAGAAAATGAAAGGAAATCAATTAACCAGTTTTAAGGTTACGTAGGCCGTAAGGGGGTAAGCATGCTTAACTGAGAGAGAGATATCTCGAACAGATGCGTAAGCAGGGCCTAGTGTTCCGCTACTTTAGCATGGAATAGGTAGCGATTAATAGATAAAAGTTACGCTAGGGATAACAGGTTAATATCCGGAGAGAGTACACATTGTCTTGGATGCTTGACACCTCGATGTCGACTCGTCCTCACCTCTGGGAGTAGCAGCTTGGAAGGGTTCGGCTGTTCGCCGATTAAAAGGGCACGCGAGTTGGGTTTAATACGACGTAAGTCAGTATGGTCCCTATCTTCATTGGAGAAGAATAGTAAAAAGAGGCAGACCTTCTAGTACGAAAGGATCAATAGGCTGTGTTTCACTAGTGCACCAATTGTGGGAAGTATTCAGGACTTATTTCAAATTAGGTAAATTAAAACTTCGATTAGGGAAGCAAATTTACTGTAAGATGTAGTGATTCAGTTATCAGTAATTATTAATAAGATTAATTAAATACTAAGTAATTGCAATAGTTAAATATTATTTCTTAAATAGCTACTCATTTTGATTTAAAACGTCTTTGGCATTGTAGCGCCGTGAGGAACGGTAGTTGCAATGTTGAAGGATTATCCTGTAAACATGGTAACATTGTTAATTAATAATGTTATGCTGGATACAACTCGCATCGTTGGGTAGCCACAAACATAATAGATAAATGCTGATGGTATATAAAGCGTGAATCTAACCTCTAGATACTAGTTCGATAAAGACGAATCTCTCCTCTTTACATGCTTTTCTATTTTTATATAAACAGTACTACCTATAATCTTTGATTAATAGTTATTCGTTTCTAAATAATAGTTATAATAAAAACTAAGAAAAGAGTAAAGAGATAGCCCCTAAAGAGAATTTATCGACGATAATAAGGAAATAGATTATTTCCGAGGAACACTTGTTGTTCCAATTAGGGGGCGTATGATAGTTTAGCCCTTCTAATTTGATTTAATTGACTTGATGATTAATATTGACGTAATTTATTTTACACAACTATCTCCCAATACCACATGGTAGTAGGAACTTAAAAAGGGGAGGAGCGTAAAGCACGAAGGATTAGCACATAAATAATTAACACATCTTATTTAAAAGAAAAGGTTATTATTATTTATCCTTCTTATTTATAATAAATGGTTGTGTTCCTGTTAATTTTTTTTAATTAGAATATATTAATCTTCTTTTGTTTTCTGTTACTACGTAATGAGTATAATTGATCTTTAATTGTGATCTTCCGTCTTCTCCCTACCTAATTAGAGTAAGTAAGGAATTAAAAATTAGAGGTCCTCACCAAATTATGGATGTTGATATTGCTGCATTATTTCTTTTTATTTTTATTTTTATTTTAAGGGTAAAAGTAGAAGCTAAATATAGAAAAATAACTTTTTAGTTAAGGATACAAAAGCTAATTATTAATTATAAGTTATGTTCTTTGTTACTGTTTATATAAAATATATATATTTTATTTTATTTTATTTTATTTTATATTAGTAATTACATTATCTGTTAGCCATTTAAACCTATTTAACACTCAACTCATACATTATATATATAATATATATAAATGAAAAGAAAGTATCCTCTTAATAATTAATTTTAATCTTAAAAATTATAAAAATATAAACATTTATATTACTACATCTAATATTAGATATAGAAGGATAATGAAACGCATGTATATCATTAAATATAAATGGAGTGTAAATAATTAATTATAGTATTTAATGAGCGGTTACCAACTACTTTTTTTTTTAATTTTTATTAGAAAGGAAGGTAAACCCTTGAAGTATACTATAATTAATCTGTAAAATTAGATAATTAATTTACCTTTAATTATTATAATATATATTAAAGAGACAAAAAAATCCTTAAAAATCATGAAACAACAACTATTAACATTAACAAACCAATATAAAAGTTTAAATTTATCTATTAATGATCAAAAAAATTGAATAAATTTATTTGGAGCAAATTACGAAAATTTTTTACTTAGAAACAAAGGTGTAACAATTGAAAATAAAGAACAATTATTACATATATTAAATCATAAACCTAGAACACTATTAAGTTCTTTAAGAGTTTTTGTAAAAGGCCTAATTAATTATAATTCACAATTACAATTAAATACAACATATAATTCTTCAAATCTTGAAAATAACAGAAAAGCTAGACTAACTAGCTTAAGAAATCTAAACTTATCTACAAGTATCAAAGGATCTAATTCTATCGTGAGTGTAAGCAATAATGTAAAAGATATCACACCTAAACATCAAATAATTAGAGGTAAAATTCAAGAATTAACACAATCTTTAACACAAAACAAATTAGCTTTACCTTTAAATTTATTAACTCCCTTACAAGCTTTAGCAACCGATGCAAATAATTCTAAAAAATTGTCATCGAGCAGCTTAAACCTGTCAGTAGATAATTCAATCTCTAAAACACAATACAGTAAATTAATTAATCCATTTAAGACTGTAAATTCTTTTGAACAAAATATCTCTTATAATTTTAATATAAATAATAATAGAAAATTCACACCTGCTTACGGATCATTTGGATCAGTTGCGAAGTTACAACAACAAAATATTACTACATTACTAGAATATGCATTTAGAGGTATGTCTTGTTTAATTAGTAAACCTGTATTTATGGATACACCTAAAAATTTAGTTATTAATTTATTTTATTTCTTTGTTCCAGGTCAAGTAGACCTACAAAAACAATCTTTAAGATTAAGAACATTAAACGCAAATGGATCCGTAGGTAAAGTTAGCGCACCTATAGCAACATCTTTAGATGGAATAACTATACCAAGTAATCCTAATAAAAATATAAATAAATTAGGTTTATTTCAAACCGCAAATAATAATAAAGCTAATTCTTCTATTTCAAACTTAAACCAAATAAACAATTTCAAATTAACAAACTTAACTAATATGAATAAATTAAATAAATTGTGTACAATTTTAAGTAATATTTTTAACAAACCAGTTGAATTAGATTTAACTAGATTGAACGCACCTTTCTTTGATGATAATATTTTAGTAAAACTGATTGGACTTGTAAGTACCGATCTGAAACCTATAAAAATCTTTGACTCTATTTATAAAAATGCAAATATTTTTAACAAAAGAACGGCTGACTATAATTACAGCTATTCTATTACTAGATCTTTCTTAGCAGGTATTAAAATCAAAATTGGAGGAAGATTAATGACACAAAGAATTGTACCTAAAATCACAACTCGACATAGTCAAAGAGGAGCTACTGCAACAGGTAAAGTAACTTATTCAGACTGGTCAAGAGTTACGCTGAAAAATAAAAGAGGTTCACACAGTATTACTGTTACAATTAGTCATGTAATTTAATATCAAATTTATATAATAATATCCCCCTACCTCCCTACCCATTTCCTAAATGGGAGGGATCCAAGAAAAAATTAATTTAACTGTTTAAAAGAGTGAATATACTAAGGGCATTTGGTCGAGTGGTTTATGGCACCCGTCTTGAAAACGGGAACTCCAAAAGAGTCGTGAGTTCAAATCTCACAGTGCCCGTTGTATTAAATAAAAAAAAAAGAGTTTCTTTTTTTTTAAGTAGAAAAATTAAATACAGATTAGAATAAATATATTTATTCGCACTGAATACATAAATGCAAATATTTAAGATTTCAGTTCTTCATGGTAAAATCCCACAGTTGATTTTTTTTTTTAATAAAATCTAATTTATTAACTGGTTAACACCTTTCGTTGCTATCAAAAAAAGAAGAAAGATAAATTTATCTTTCTTCTTAATTACCTGACCACTAGTTACTAACCATAGGTACACCTAACCTTAAGGTGTCGGCAAATACTAATTATTATTAATGCCTCCATATTCCACTAGGACCCTAGGGTCCTAGTGGGAGGGAGGGGATCGGGTCCTGGTAATATTAAAGATAGCGAGCGTTTAATTTATATTTTGTGTAATCAGCGTTAAATATAAATAGAGCGCAGGTTATTTAATATATAATATAATTATGAAAAATTTATTTATTGACTTATTAGCTTGAGGTACTATATTCTCAAGTGTTTTAGTTATTGTTTCCGTTAATCCAGTTATTGCTGTAATATTTTTAATTGCTGTTTTCTGTAATGCTGCCGGTTTCTTAATTTTATTGGGAGTAGGATTTATAGGTATTTCCTATATAATCTTATATGTTGGAGCTATTACTGTTTTATTCCTTTTTGTTATTATGATGTTCAATATTAAATTATCAGATATTGTTAATACACAAGCACAAATTAATGCCAATATGTCATTTGTTATAGCTATTACAGGTTTATTTGTTTATGAAATGAAATGAATATTACCGTTTGCAGTTAATGATGTTTCTGGTTTACCTAATTTATTTTTACACCAAACAAATAAAATCTTACTAAACTCTAATACGACTTTAGTAAATACAGTTTTAAATACACTAAACCCTAATACCGCGGATACTTCATTTACTAGCTTCTTACAAATTGAGACTCTAGGTGAAGGTTTATATACTTACGGAGCACCTCTATTAATAAGTTGTAGTATGATTTTATTACTATCTATGATTGCTCCAATTTTCATATCTGGAAAATTTAAACACAGTAATTCAAGTAACTAAATCATCTTATACTTGTTCACTTATTTAGCCCCCTTTCTACGGATTTAAAAACACGATTTCTTTTCCAATTAAAGCACTCCTACCCTAATCCTAACCTTAATCTAAGTATTATTTAAATATTACCTAAAGATCCTTAAACCTGTGATCCTTTTGGAAATTGAAAAAAAAAATGAGCCTTTTTTAAAAAAGGACTACCTACATTAAAAGCAGTAATTAAAAGAGATTGAAAAGCTAAAAATTTAAATAAGTAGGTTTAAGGTCCTTTCGTATAATGGTTAGTACAACTACCCTTCACGTAGTCAATGCCAGTTCGATTCTGGTAAGGACCGGATTAAATTAAAAAAGAAATTTTAGGTAGTATACTTAATGTTTTAGCTTGGTCCGCTTCAAGCAGTAGTGTAAGCGTAGAGGAATAGTTTACATTGGTAAGTTAAAACGATTGCTAATTGTTGGGTATTAAAGCCTTTAGGTGTTCGAGTCACCTCTATTCCGTTATAAAAAAAAAGATTAAAATTAAATAATTATTAAATTCTAGTATTGCTAATTTTAAAATAAATAGTTATATCTGGAGAAAAATTTCTAATTAACAAAAAAAAAAAAGCAGATTAATTAGTTAAAAGTGTTAAACAGGGTATAATTGGTAGTGGTTGTTCTCAAATGAATTGGCTTTATTCTACTAATGCTAAAGAAATTGGAACACTTTATCTAATGTTCTCAATATTTGCAGGTATGATTGGAACAGCCTTCTCAGTATTGATTAGATTAGAATTATCAGCTCCAGGTGTTCAATTTTTAGGAGGAGATCACCAATTATTTAATGTAATAATATCAGCTCATGCTCTTATCATGATTTTCTTCATGGTTATGCCTGGATTGGTAGGAGGATTTGGTAATTATTTACTACCTGTACAAGTAGGTGCTATTGATATGGCATTCCCAAGATTAAATAATATCTCTTTCTGATTATTACCACCTTCACTAATATTACTATTACTTAGTTCATTAGTTGAAAATGGTGCTGGTACAGGATGGACAGTTTATCCTCCATTATCAAGTATACAGTCGCATTCAGGTGGTGCTGTTGATTTAGCTATCTTCAGTTTACATCTTGCTGGGGTTTCATCTTTACTAGGTGCTATTAATTTCATAGTAACTGTTAATAATATGAGAACTAATGGGATGGGAATGCATAAATTACCTTTATTCGTATGAGCAATTTATGTTACAGCTATACTGTTATTATTATCTTTACCTGTACTAGCTGGTGCTATCTCAATGTTAATTACAGATAGAAATTTCTCAACTAGTTTCTATGATCCAGCAGGAGGAGGTGATCCTGTTTTATACCAACATTTGTTTTGGTTCTTTGGTCAAAGTTGGCCCTTTTTAAGAGAGATCTTAAATTCGAATTGCGCTATATGCTGGAACCTTTTAGGACATATGTGCACTAGTGATGTAAGTCTATATTTTAATATAGCCGCACTAGTAAAAGTCACAATGATCCGACCTTTCAAAAATAGAAGGAATCAGCAGGTAACCAAAGGTAGAAGTTATACAACTCACCTAGTAGGAACCTCAGAGACTACACGCGCAACATCCTACGGAAAAACGGAAACTCGATTTAATCAATGGTTAGCCGGTCTTATTGATGGTGATGGTTGTTTTCAAGTTAGCAAATCTGGATATTCTAGCTGTGAAATAACTGTTGCTCTAGCCGATGAACGTATGCTGCGAATTATTCAGAATAAACTTGGAGGGGCAGTTAAACCTCGTTCAGGTGTTCAGGCTATTCGTTGAAGATTACATAATCGTGCTGGTATGATAGATCTAACAAATCGAGTAAATGGATACATCCGACACAACAAACGATTGGTTCAACTTAGTCATGTTTGCACTATACTAGGATTGCAAATTTTAACTCCTGATACATTACATAAAGAACATGGTTGATTTTCTGGCTTTTTTGATGCAGATGGAACTATTGGATATTATTTTAAAGGTAATTCTAATAATCCTCAATTAACTTTAAGTGTAACAAATAAACTATATACAGATATTGTTCATTTCTTGAATGTTTTCGGTGGTGCTGTTTACTTCGATAAAGCCCAAAATGGGTATTATAAATGAAGTGTTCAGTCAGAAATTAATTTGCAATCTTTTCTGGAATATGCTAGAATATGTCCTCCTAAATCTATCAAGCGTAATCGTTTATTTTTAGTGAAGGAATATTATAGACTTGTAGCTATTTCTGCCCATAAGGCACCAGAAGACACAGTGCTACATAAAGCATGATTAAATTTTAACCGTAAGTGGAATAACGGTACCCAGTAGTCACGTAGTTGATGATGATATAGTCCTTCAGTCTATTATTTAAAAGACTGTAGCACCCTGAAGTATATATCTTAATTATACCTGGATTTGGAATAGTTAGTCATATAGTGTCAACATTCTCAGGTAAATCTATCTTTGGTTACTTAGGAATGGTTTATGCTATGTTCTCAATTGGAATCCTAGGGTTCTTAGTTTGGTCACATCATATGTTCTCAGTTGGACTAGATGTTGATACTAGAGCTTACTTTACTGCTGCAACAATGATTATTGCAGTTCCTACAGGAATTAAAATCTTCTCATGATTAGCTACTCTATACGGAGGAAGTTTAAGATTTACTACACCTTTAGTCTTTACAATTGGATTCTTAGCTTTATTTACAATTGGTGGATTAACAGGAGTTGTTTTATCAAATGCTAGTCTAGATATTGCATTCCATGATACATATTACGTGGTGGCTCATTTCCATTATGTTCTAAGTATGGGAGCTGTATTTGCTTTATTTGCAGCATTCTATATGTGAACACCTAAAATCATTGGTAGAACATATAGTGAGTTCTTAGGTAAAGTACATTTCTGAACATTATTCGTGGGAGTTAATTTAACATTCTTCCCTCAACATTTCTTAGGTCTGGCCGGTAATCGCAATATTAAATCAACTAATTTTTTAAACTTTCCAATTCTAATCTTACTAATTTACGCAATCCTACGGCTCCATAGATACAGAGTCTATCTTAACTATCCTATTTACTTGGCTACTCAGCGTGTTTTACCTAGAGCAAATATGGGATATATTTTGTTTAGTCTATTTATCATATATTTGTATTTTCAATATGATATGTTAAATCCATATTCGGATATCAATTCCTTTCTATTAGCACAATTGCCAATTAAATATACCTCTAAACATAAACATATCAATAACATAGATTATCCTAATGGTCCTCACATAGAACCTAAATTTTTAAAAAAACCATTTAAATTGTACAGCAATCCAAATTTAGAGCGAAATAGCATAGGCTCAGATAATAGACAAGTTTCTGTAATTTATCAATGAGTTAATCTAATCACTGGTCAATCATATGTAGGTTCAGCTTCAAACGGAGCTACCCGATTATTAAGTTATTGAAGACCCAGTGTGTTAAATAGAAATTACTATATTTATAACAATATAATTTATTATGGTCATTCGAATTTTGCATTAGCCATACTAGAAAATTTAGGTAACAGAAATAATGTGACTAAGGAGTTTTTACTTTCTAGAGAACAATTTTATATTGATATTCTATTTAAATTTTATCCTGATTTAGCATTAAATTTATCCCGACAAGCGGGATCAACTAAAGGTTATAAACATAAACCATCTTTTTCTTTAAATAGAATGGGGAATCTGAATCCTATGTTTGGCCAAATAAAATCACCCGAATTTTTGGAAATGCAAAACCGAGATAGAAGTGGATCTAATAATCCACAATTTGGAATTAAAAAATCTATGGACACAATAGGTAAATTAACTAAATACATTTATGTTTATAGTAGTTCAGATTTATCTTTAATGGGAGTATTTGGTACTGTTGCTTGCAGTAAAGAATTTAAAATGGGTAAGGACACTTTAACAAAACATTTAAAAAGTGGATTACCTTATAAAGGAAACATCTTTAGTTATACTAAACTTAATTAGAAGATTTAAATATTATAATGCCCCAAATAGATTTGTTTAACTAAACACTATTTGGAAATTGGGTGAATTGCAAGAAAAGCCAATCTGATTCTTTAAAGATTGGTCAATTTGCAGCTTATCATATTACGATATACTTATTCCCTCCTTAATATATTATAGGGATTTAGTTGTAATATGCGAGTTCAAAGACTAACGGGTGAGTAGTATCAAACAATAATCCCGACACGAGCGCCCAACATATAAATTAAATTAAAATAAATTATATGATGACATAGTCTGACCCCTATAGTAATATAGGGAAACAGGGTTTAAATACCCTTTGTTAACAAAAGTGATGCCAAGAAGAATACCTGATTACCCTGATGCATTTAGTGGATGGAATGCAATTTCAAGTTTTGGATCTTTAATATCTGTGGTAGCAACTGCTTTATTCGGTTATATCATATACGATATTTTTGCTAACCAACCAACTTGCTCTAATAATCCATGGGCAGTTCCTTCATACTTTACTTCTCTGTCACAATTTAACGATGAAACAGAAACAGCAAATACTCTTGAATGAGCTTTACCATCACCAATTCCATTACATGCATTTAAAATGTTACCAGTTCAATCTTAATCGAATGTAATTGGACATTAAATTAGATGTAATATTAACCCCCTACTGATATTTGAAACAAATAAGGAGTTGTGCAGCTACTGCATTTAATATTTCTTAGGGTTTTAGAAAAGCAAAGAAAAACAAGGATTAAATAATTGAATAAATTTTATTAAACCTTAATCTGTAAAGGTTCTACCTTTGATTCAACCTCTTCTCTATTGCTGGAGGACTACTCGTTTACAAAATTATTACAGTCAAAATAATAAAAAAATTAAATATCTCATTTAAACCGATCCCTTAAAGGTCCTCGTGCTTTAACAGTGGGAGAAAAAGGATCCGGTCCCGTACGGGGAAGGGAGAGGCATATGTAAACAAATTGTTTACAGAGATACCTCTTTAGACAAATTTAGATTATTAAAATTGTAGAGGAAAACCATTATTAAAGTTATTAAAAAAAAATGCCTCAATTAATTCCATTTTATTTTTTAAATCAATTATCTTTCTCATTCTTAACATTACTGTCATTAATCTATATTTTCTCTAAATATATCTTACCTTTATTCACATTCCAACAAGTAATTAGAATGTATATTACTAAATTAAGTAATAATTAGTTTAAATTTTTGTATGCACATGTAATTAAATAATATATTAGCCCCCTATCCCTTCCCTTAATGGAACCCGTACGGGCCCCATACCACACATTAGATGTAAGGTAAGAAGGTAAAGCACGAGGATACGTAAAGCAAGGGTAGCTGTATATAATTATTGAGCCCTTAATTTATCTAGAATAAATTAAAAATGTAAAAGGAGAATAAAATGGTAGAAGTCTAATTGGTTTGACGCTCCCTTTGGGTGGGAGAGCTAGCATGTTCGAATCGTGTCTACCATACTTAAAAAAAAAAAAATAGAAGTGAAATTCACAGGTGTCATGGCAGAGCGGTTATTGCGGAATACTGTTAATATTTTCATGAAAATGACAGGGGTTCGAATCCCCTTGACACCTTATAGTATTCCTTCGTATCGCTCCTATTATTCTTATCTCACCTTGCGTGTTCCAGCTAAAGCTGCTCCTATTTAAACATTGTTTACTAAAAAAAAAAATATGAGTATTAAATATTGAGGAGAATAATTGTAATCATTAATAAGATTAGTAAATAAAATGAGTAATTTAATTTTGTTATTAGTTTTTTTTTTTATGATATTATAATAATTAAAACTAATAATCACTTTTGATAGTTACTACTTTATTTGTCTAAATAAAAGGAGAGAATAGAATTAAATATTATCTAACTCTCATTATTATTCAATAAAAGAAGTATATAAGTATACAAGTATAGTTAAATTGGTATAACCTCTTCCTTCCACGTAGATATTAGCAGTTCGAGTCTGCTTACTTGTATTAAAAAAAGAATATGAACATTATTAAACCGAATAATCTTAGAGAATAACTAAAAATTAAAGTAAATATTTTAATTTTTAGTTATAGTTGTAGTTGGAGTAGTGTAAATCTTAAGCAGAGTTGTTTCGAGTCTTTCAATCTGGTTCTGTAATTTTAATTAATACTATAGGTTTAAACTTTAATATCTAAATTTAGGCTTTAGTAGGTAGACAATATTATTATTATATACTTTTTCTAATAATATTATCCTGCCTCCTATCCTATTATAGCTAGCCGAAGAGTGTGCTTTAGCAAAAACTAGGTCTACCGGTCCTTATGCTTAACTAGAGAATCGGATCCTAGGATCCGAAGGGAGGGGGATTAAAATTTATCTCTTTTTAAGAGTAAAATTTTTAAATATTAGAGTTATAATGTTAAGATGTATATAAATAAAATAGATTGTACGGATACTGTAATGATAATACTAGCTATACTGAAAATCAGGTAGTATTTTTGGAATTTTTTTCGTAATTTTATGATGGTAGCTAATTTAGGATAATGTGTTTCAAGGTTATATTTGTTGATTAAATACTCTCCATATAAAATAGCTATAATCGAGAATACGGCTGATAGCACTACATAATTCCCGATTAGTAAAGTGATACATAATTGACCTAAACCATTTTGTGTTAAAAAGAATTCATATAAGTTATCGGGGAACAAACTATTTTCCTTTGGAACATCAATAGTTTCCTGGTCTAAATTATTGGTAAGTATAATAGTATTTTGTGCTTTATTTGTTTCAATATTTTGTTCTAGGTATAAATAAATATTTATAATAATAAATATTAGTATAAAAATTATTTTCATAAGGAGATTTAGATTTAGATTTAGATTTAGATTTGATAGTATAGTCATAATTTAATATTTATTAGTAAGTTTGAGCTCTTTAATTTCAATATATAAATATTAAAATAATTAAAGGTAAATTAACACTATTCTTTCCTCTTGTTTTACCTAGGAAAAAAAAAGTATTGTATTTAATATATGGATATAAATAGAATAAATACTAATATGAATTAAATAATCACTTTAATAAAATTCTTATTTTATTGTTTACACTACATTTATATTTAATGATATACATGCGTTTCACCTTGTTTTTTTTAATATAAACGTTAATTATTGTTTTAAGAGGATACTTTCTTAAAAAAGTGTTAAACAGGTTAAGTGGCTGATAGATAGTGTAATTACTGTAATCAGATTATTCAATATAATTATAGTAACAAAGAAGATAACTTCTAATTAATTTAAAAAATCTACGGTTCTGGCATAAAAGGAAGCCAAAAAAATTGTTTTCTTGCCTGGTACTATACCACTCCCCCCCTCCCCCATACGGGAAAGGGAATCGGGTCCCATTCCCTGAAATGGGAAGGGTGATGGTGGAGAGGAGGGAAAGACAGAGTGTATCCTTAATTAAGAGTTATTTTCAATATTCAGCTTCTACTTTTAACTATTTAATAAAAATTCAACCTTAAACACCAGAATATTATATAATATTTATAATATTATACTTTATCCTAAAAACACAATACCTCCCTCCCTCCCTTCATCCTAGCTTCAGCACTTATCCTCTATGCTAATGCTTTAGCTAGGGTCCAAAGGTTAAGTAGGAACGGGTGTTAGAACAGATTTAAATAGTTAAGACCGTTGGGAATCGAACCCAAAACCCTTCTATTATGAGCAGAATGCATTAACCAATTATGCTACAGTCTTATATTTTTTAATCTTATATTGGGCAGTATTTAATTAGTAGCTACTACTTTCTTTTAAAGATTATAATCTAAAATTATGATAAACTATTTAAACACTAAATATACTTTTTTTTTTAATTAATTTACCTAAAGAAAGGTCTACCTGCATCTTGCCTAACTACCCCTTTTACTACCCATAATAATTAAAGAATACCTATTCGTAAACTTTATACAGAGTTAAGATGGAATTGAACCATACTTAAAGATAGACTTTGCAGGTCTACTACAGAACCATCTGTAAACTTAACCCTATTATAACTAAAAAGCTTTAGGTTTATTAGATGTAAAATCTATTTAACTTTGAGCAGTAAAGGAATCGAACCTTTACTTTTTTAATATAACAACATACATCCCTTAATGGATAATTAGCAACCGTAGGTGCACTAGTGTATGTAGCTAGTAAGGAGACGCAATACTCACTAGCTTTACACTGGTGACAATCTTATTTAGTATTAAACTGAGTTGACCAGAATCGAACTGATATTATTATTACCAAAAAATGACGTTTTTCCATTAAACTACAACTCAACATATTAAAATTTAAAATTATATAATTTTAAATAAACTTTACTTTAAATTATATATTAGAAAACACTTTTGTTTAACCAGTTATTCATAACTCTTTGTTGCTATTTGTAATGGTAAAAAGGGGTTTAAATTTTGTGGTTATTTTTTTTATTAAAAATAATTTGCCGGAAAACGGATTCGAACCGCTTTCTAAATCTTACAAGGAATTTATTTTAACCACTTAAACTATTCCGGCTACTGCTTTAGCTGCTCACAAAAAAATAACCACTTTTATTTTAAAATCTCCCTATTTCAGTTTAGTGTTTTGACCTCTAAGCAAAACTATATTCTACTACTTTTATATCACTTTGTTTTAACTAAAAGTGTCTGAGGTTTAAATTATCTCTAATGTTAGACGCTATCAACTGTAATATAATTATTTTTATGAAAGAACCTCAAAATAAGCTAATTAAGTATCAAAATCCAAAATATTTAGGAACCTTTAATAATTTAGATAATCTTGCAAAAGTTAAATTGTATAAAAAAGAACTGTTTGCTAAATCCGGTATTTACTCTTTTATTAACTTAATAGATGGTAAGCAGTATATAGGAAGTGCTGTAAATTTTTATTCTAGATTAATAGAGCATTTAAAAGGTCAAAAGTCTAATCCGCATCTTCAAAATGCTATGAATAAATATGGTAAAGAAAATTTTATATTTGTTATTTATGAGTATACTCCTTATGTTTTACCTGATATTCTAGAATTGGAAGATAAATATATTAACAATTTTTTATTTGAAAATTTATATAATATTTTGAAATTTGCAACATCTTCATTAGGATTCAACCATTCTGAATTAACTCGTTCAAACATGTCAATAAATAGATCGGGTAAACCAATGAGTGCTTCAACACGTTTGTCTATGGCTGCTAGACACTCATATCCTATTTCTTTATATGATAACAATAAAGTATATATTTTGACCTTTGCAAATAAATCTAAATTAGCTGAATTTTTAGGTTGTACCAGATTTACTGTTAGAACTTATTTAAACTCTGGTAATTTATTTAGAGATAAGTACTATTTAATATCAGATGTATTATTTACTTCTTCTTCGGATTCAGATTCAGATTCAGATTCGAATTCGGATTATTCTTAAATTATTTTTTTAAATCTATTAACCCCCTTTCTCCCCCTCCCCAAAAAGACCTGATCCCCCCCCTCCCTCCCCATAGGGATAGGGTCCCATTCCCTCCCTTAAGGGGAGGGTAGAGTGGGAAAGGATTGCTTTACCAGGTAAAGTATACTATTCTATTATAATCTTTCTTTATATTCTTTATTTTTAAAGTTTAATTTATTTATCAATATTTTGCCTTGAAATGGAATTGAACCAATATCTCTAAATTTTCAGTTTAGCGCTTCGACCAACTAAGCTATCGAGGCTTATAATAAAAACAATTAATATTAAAAACATTTTGTCTACTTTTAAATAAACCTTATATCTATAGATATAGATATAGATATAGATATAGATATAGATATAGATAGGGGGTTAATATTACATTGATTTTTTTTTTTGGATATAGCCATACCGATTGGTCTTACTACCTTACAGGCTAAAAACCACAGCTTTGCATAAGCTTGCTAAGTGATCTAAGGGGAATTTCTTACATCTGCTTTACCGCTTTTGATCAAATGTCTTATATGTTTTAATCTAAAAAAAGCAATATACAAGTGATAAAGAGTAAAAAGTACAGAAATAAGAAAACAAACATTTCAGATTGATTCAGGGCAGTTAATTTTAGTCCCACCTAAAGTTATTATGAAAGAAAGACCTCCACTGAATCTTAATATTCTAATTAACGGATGATCATTCAGTAAAATTTTATCCTTGGGTAAAGTATTAAGAGATCAACCTATTTTAATACCTTGAACTAATCGTTGAAGTAAAGTTTTTTGTTGTTTCATGATTTTATTTAGTAGATTTTATTTTATTTGTTTTATACTTAAAAAAATTTTAAGCAATTTAGAAAAAAATTGTTTTGTTTTTGTAGAATGGCTAACTTGCACAGTAATTAGTGTAACAATATTATTATTTAAAAATATTACTTAATTTTACAATACAAAGTGGATAGTTAGTAATTTAAAATAATATTTCCTTTACTAAAAAAAAAAAAAAAAAAATATAAATCATTTTTTTTTAACTTAAATCAATATGAGTATTAAATTTATCTTATACAAGTTTTAATTGAGGTATGAATTGTTCTTGAGACCTATAATTGTAAAAATTGTAGACCTATCTACTAATAGTCCTCCACTGAATCTTTAGGTGTTATCAATATTCCTTTGACAACGTACATTATAAATTCATTAAGAGTATATCCAACTTACTTTATTTTAAGATAAAAAATTAACTTTTATTGCAATCGGTATAGGTATATGGATAACATGGAATTAAAATTTAAAATACTGAACTACTTTTAAATAAACAAACAGATATTGAGGATATAGAAGATCCTTTCCCTCCCCTTAGTGGGCGGGGGAGGGAGGGGGTTAAATTAAAAATTTAACATTTTGATTACGAAGTTAGTACTTTTATGCAAATTAAGATTTCTCCTACAGATATCGATGCAATAATCAAAATACTTATAAAAAAATAATAAGATTGAAACTTTCTTCTAAGATTAATTAATTTAGCTAGTCTAGGTCAACGTACTTCGAGGTTGAGTCTTCTAATTAAAATATCACCGTAATAAATAAAAACTATTGTAGACAGGGCGCTTAACATAGCTTGGTTTAAGACTAAAACGCTAATCGCCATTTGTGATGTTAAATCAAGATTAGAATAATATTCAGAGAAATAGCTACCTATAAATTTGGACTTCTCTTCAATGTCTAAATTTTTTTCTAAATCCTTACTTGCATCTTCTATATCCTTAATAGCTTTTGTTTCTATTTCACCTAAATCGGCAATTTCCTTTTTTTCAAGTCCAATTGCTACATCTGCGAATTGTTGGTTAATAGTTTTGTTTTTTTCTTGCTCTATATCAACTAGGGTTAAGATGGTACTTTCTGATCTTTTCTTATACTCATTAAATAGGCAGTAAATAAAGATTATAATAAACATAAAAATAGAAGATAATTTTATTAGGAATGAAAGATTAGTATTAAAAATGTTTTCCAATTTAAGTTAAAGTTTTATTTTTGAGTTGATAGCGTCTAACATAGACGATAATTTAAACCTTCTACTCTTTTATAAAATAGCTGTAAATTTTATTTTGCCTTATACTTAAATGCTATTACGCTAACGTAGAAATAAGCACTAGCAGATATTTATGCTGTCAACAGGACTCGAACCTGTGTTTTACCGTCATGAGTGGTATGTTTTAACCATTTAAACTATATCAGCTAGAGTATACCTAATACTTTATTTCTCCTTTTCATATTTTTTTTTAATTTAGGTGAAAGAGGTACAGGGTATGTTGAGTTAGAAAATTACCTGTAGGACAAATTATGTTTATTGACTATTTAAATTATAAAATCTATTGATAGTTACTGAATTTCATATAAAAAAATTAAAAGGTCATATATAGGTGAAGATAAGACTTACATTTAGAAATAAAATAATAAACAAAACATTAGTGTTAGATATATTTATTTAAATAAGAATCTTATGAAAATTCTAAAAATGTTAAGTCGAAATATTCTGTTTTTTTACCACAAATTTTATTGTTCTTTACGATTGTTCTCTAGTGCTTAGTTAAAACAAACTAGATAGATCAATGATATATATGTATTAATAAAAAAAGTTAATTCTTATTTAACCTTGAACCTTAACTAAATTTAAACTCTATTTTAAATTCTTAAATTTCATTACCAGGGTAATAAAGCAACTAAAAGATTGCTTTTTAACAAACGATCATCCCTCTGCTTACGGTAGGTACCATACGGTGGAGGGAAAGGTATGAAAGACTAAAAGTTTTAAATAAAGCTTAAATCCCAGTATTAGATATCTTAACTCTCTTTTAGAGAAGTGTTCCTTCTAAATAAAAAAGTAAAAGTTTTCTAATTTATTAATCTAGCGCTAAGCTACCAATTGCACAGTTAAGTAGTGGAAATTGCGTAAGCGTAGGGAACGTTATACTGTACCTGCTTGTTTACACTAACCTGAATTATAATTTAACATTCTACTTTATTTTTTTTTTTACGAGCCCTTCCAGATTCGAACTGGAATAACCCTAATTGACAATTAGGTACTCTACCAATTAAGCTAAGGGCCCTTTCATATTTATATTCTGGATGTATTTCACCTTGATTGCCATACGATTTATTTTTAATAACTATCGTTTTTAAAAAATAAATCGTATTCTACAAGAGCGAGGTGATTCGAACACCTTCCCAAGATTTTGGAGATCCCGATACTGACCAATTATACTACGCTCTTTTATATTTATTACTCTTTTAATAATAGCATTTTTTTTATTTTTAGGAATGATATATTTATTCTAAACATGTAGGGGGATATTTAGATATTTATTTGTCATGTTTTGGATTCAGAGAAATAGCTCCTGAACCAATTTCTAATACGAAACCTACAGTTAATATCAAGAAGAATAGAACAGCTACGGCAAAACCAAAAGTACTTATTGAAGACAATGAAACACTTACAGGTAATAATAAAACTAATTCAATATCGAATACTAAGAAAAGCATAGCAACTAACCAAAAATGAATTTGGAAAGACTCTCTTGCTTGACCAGGTACAACGGGCATTCCACTTTCATACTGTGACAGTTTAGACTCATAAGCTTTATGAGGAGCTAGTAAGGTATTTAACCCTAATAAAATTAGAGCTAAAATAGGAACGAAGATCATTAAAATTAATAGAGTAATATTCATTAGTAATTAAAATAACTTAAAGCAAGTAACTGTGTACTATTTAGTATTAATGTTGGTTTGAAAATAAACAATAAAATTGATAAAGTTATAGTAGAAATTAAGAAACTGTGGAAATTAGTTAAAATAGGTGTATTATTTAATTCAACACCTGTACCAGCGGATCCTGAAGGTAATATTGGTTTAACTAAATTTTCTTCAGTTGACTCAGTAAATAATAATACAACAATTCTTAAATAATAAGAAGCACTAATTACACTAGTTAATATACCTACGAAAGCCATAAATCAGTATCCACTTTGTACAGCAGATAATAAAACAAACTGTTTAGAGAAGAAACCTAATAAAGGAGGTATACCACTCATTGAGAATAAACAAATTGCTAAACTAATACTTAATATAGGATTAGAAAAGAATAATCCTTTAAATGATGATAAGTATCTGATATCAAAATCAAACAAGAAGACATTTTTAGAATTAGTATATCATTTTATTCCATTACTATTAATGATAAACCCTAATGCAATGATGATTAAGAAAACATTTAAATTTGTTAATGAATATTGAAGTATATAGAAAATAAATGAATCTGTAGATTGTTCAGTATTAATAGCTAAGGCTAATAGAATAAATCCAATATGAGATATTGTACTGTAAGCTAATAGTCTTTTGATTCTAGTTTGAGCTAGACCTACTACTGTTCCAATAATTAATGAAAATAATGAACTTATCAATAATAACATTTTTAATACGTAACTTGTGTTATAAGTCACATCAAACATATTACTTGTGATATTTAAATGCATTAACAGATTTTCAGTATTTAAAATATTTGATGAAGATAAGTCTACTATTGAATTTATAGAGAATCCACTTTGTAATTCTAATAATAAAACTAATATAGATATTTTAGGTATTATTGTTAACCAAATTGTTACTTGTGTAGGTGTTTCATCATATACATCTGGAGACCATGAATGTAAAGGAGCTGCAGCTATTTTAAATAAAAATCCTATAAATATTAGAATTAAACCTAAACTAACTCCACTAATTATTTTATTAGCTGTAAATAGTGTAGCAGTATGAGATACAGATAATAAACTATATATAGATTCAAAATTTGTTAAACCTGTAAAACTATAAATTAAACCAGCACCTAATAATATTAAACAAGAAGATAATGCCCCTAACAAGAAATATTTTAAACCAGATGCAGTAGCTGATTCATAATCTCTATATAATGTAGCTAAAATATATAATCCAAATGATTGTAACTCTATACTTAAATACATAGATAAAAGATCTGATGAAGATACTAGTAAAGATGAACCTAAAGCACTAAATAGTACGATTAAACAATATTCTGTTCTAGGTGTATATGAACCTATGGTATTTATTTTAGGTGACACTGTTCCCTTACTGTTTTGAGTACTTAAATTGTTTTTATTTAAAGGTAAAGATAAGGTATTATTAGTTGATAATTCAACTAATGGTGACGTACTTGAAAGTAAAACTTGTAAATTAGATTTTACTTTGTTGTAAAAAGATGTTGTTATTAGAGGTCAAGCTACTAAAATTAGAGCTGCCATAACTAATAAAAAGGCATCTAATGTTTGAGACACAATAGTCACATGGAATAATCCACTATATATACCAATTCCTGATCCAATTGTCTGAATATGAAGAGCATTTAAAGCTAATACTCCGGAATAGATAAATATGATAGCAGATATTCTAGTTATAATATTTGAAGAAAGTTGATTTTTTATTGAAGGTAGGGCTATTGCCACTATGATGATTAAGATACTTGTAAAGATCATTACTTTTTTTCTTTATTAATTATTAACTCACAATATATTTTATTAACTTTTTTTTTAACAATAACTAAAATAATTTATATCTCGAATTAATACTAAAATAGGTTAGGTATAACCTGTGGCTATACTTACAATCTTGACCTACGGTACACACTAATATTGTAGTAGTAATTACATAAGCAAGGAATACTGAGGTAAGGAGGAAAGGGGGTTAACACTATCGGGGTAACAAGATACGAACAAAGAGACTTGAACTCTTAAGGATTTACTCCACTCCAACTTAAATGGAGATTGTTTACCAATTTCAACATGTTCGTTAGATTATACGGTTTATTTTATACATATATTCTTCTTTTAAGTATAAAATTATTATTATTTAAAAAGCTCTAGCTTACGCAACTCTTACTATTGCTTTAATTAGTACTATTAAGTGATTAGAGAATGTGGAGTTGCTAACTAATATTTATTTAGTTAATTATTTTTAAACCTTAAGCCTTAGAAATACACAATTATTAAACTTAATGCCTTTAATTTATATAATCTTTATTACTTAATAGGTAGTTATGTAGTTATTTTCCCTGCTTATGGTATTTTACGGGTCCCTCCCCCCCCCCCCCATACGGGAAAGGGGATAGGGTCCACTAGGGTGAGGAAATGGGAAGATATTTTATGGAGAAAGATAGATTCGAACTATCACAACATTGGTGCAAGCAATGGAGACTACCATTATCTTATTTCCCCTTTTTTAAATTATATAATTATTATGATAGCTAGAATTAAAGCTATAAAACTATAGTTTTTATTTAAAATTTATTTTTATCTTCTTTTAACTAATTTAAATCTATAGTTATTTAAGTAATTAGTGTGTAGAGCAATCGGACCCGATCCCCTCCTACGGACCCCCCCATAGCGGATAGGGTGAGGGTTGGGAGGGAGGGGGTTAAATTGTGTAAATGGATGAAAATAAAATTATTCTCCATTAGTTGCTAACCAGCTTAAATAATCTGGCATAGAAACAGCTTGAACATTTATAGGCATAAATCCGTGTCATACTCCACAGATTTCAGAGCATTGACCGTAGAATGTTCCTTGTCTATCTACTAGAATAGAAGCTTGGTTTAATCTACCTGGAGTACAATCAAGTTTTAATCCTAATGAAGGTACTGCAAATGAATGAATTACATCTGTAGATGAAACGATTAATCTGATATGTGTATCAGCAGGTATAACCATTTTATTATCTACATCTAATAATCTAAATTGACCTAATTCTAAATCAGCTTCTGGAACCATATATGAATCAAATTCGATTGCATCACCGCTATCAGTAACGTAATCTGAATATTCATATGACCAGTACCATTGATGACCCATAACTTTAATAGTTATAGTTGGAGATATCACTTCATCAAGTAGGTATAGTAATCTGAAAGATGGGAAAGCAATAGCGATTAAAATTAAAGCAGGTAAAATTGTTCACACAGTTTCGATTAAAGTACCGTGATTTAAGTATTTGTAAACTAAAGAAGATCTAGAACTATTGAAAGTATAGATGATATTACCTAATACTCAGAACACACCAACTGATATTATGATTAAGTAGAAGAAAATTGTATCATGAAGTTCTACAATTCCACTGAATCCAGGTGTAGCTGAATCTTGGAATCCGTATTGCCAATTTTGAGGCGCATCATTAAAGATAGTATTAAACATAGTAAATATTTGGAACATTTGGTTTTTTTTAATGAAATATATTCAGTCTTAGTATACTTAATCCTCCCCCCACCTTTCCCTCCACCCCCTTAATGGGTGGGTGGGGGATCAGGTCTAAATATAAAATACATTAGGTAACTAAAGCAAAAGCTAGTAGGGTAAAGAAAAAAATACCTGGTGATTAAATTTTATCACTCTTCAACGTTATTTTTTATTGGTCTTCTACCTGTAACTAAGTAGAACATAATATAACTTTGTCTAAGGTATCCTAAGATTAGTCTTGTTAATTTATTTGCAATTCTTTTTTTTAACTGTGTGTATTCTGTAAATTATTTATACTTAAAATCGCTCCTTAAAGGTTTTCATCTTTATGAAAAATAATTTATTAAGATTATTTACGAAGACAAAGGTAAATAAGGTATATAATAGTATTTTAATTTTTCTCTTGCCCTGCCACAATTAGCTTAATAATCGAACCCTTACCAGTTATCGTCTGTTAAAGCAGAAGGCTGGAAGGCAGAAAGGCAAGAAGGAGTAGAAAATAGTTAATAAAAATCTCAGAGAGTAAAGGATTCGAACCTTTGAATAAAATTAGTTATAATTTATTACATAATATTTTATCAGTACCGCTTATTAACTCCCTACCTTTTGCTCTACATTTTATATATATCTGCGGATCCTCACCCATAAGGGTCCAACCCCTTACAGGGACCCGATCCCCCCCTTTCCATAAAAGGACCCGATCCCATCCCTCCCTAGGGTCCATTTCAGGGAAGGGAATGGGGAGGAAGGGATTAATTTATTCTATTTTTTCTTTATTAGCGGGATGAGGATTTGAACCACACCTAACAGTTCATGAGACTATTGTGCTAACCACTACACTATCCCGCTTTAAACATATCTTACTAAAAAGATTAGAAATCTAAATTTTTATTAACAATCATTTATATTTTTAAGGGTAAAATCAGAGACTTGAACTCTGAACCACGTTGCCACAAAACGTCATTTTGCCAATTAAACTAATCTTACCTCTTTTATATGTGTCGTCATTGGGTTATTTTTTTTAATCTACTAGCTAACATGTCCAAGGATGAGGGAGATAAGGGGGTTAATGTTTTTAAAAATTTTGTTTGTTAATAAAAATTTAGATTTCTATGCTTCAACTACTAATTCTTAGGGTGTAAATAATTATAAACTTGAATATACTCCTCAATATTTACTAATAATTCACTAGCCAATACTAGGTTGATGCATAAGGTAAATAGTAAACTAAAGGTAACAAAAATAAAACCAAATAATAAAGTTTTATCGCTCCAGTCTTTACTATAGTCTACATATTTACTGAAGAAAATGTTTACTTTATTTGGCATGTATCTATTAAATAGGGAAGTAAGTAAATTTAAATTAGATTTTAATATAAATCTATTGAATACTATTATTAATAATAAAATAACTAATATAAAAATAAGTATATTTAATATATAGTTATAAAAAATTAAATTTTCCAAGGGCGAAGTCATTTGGTTTTCTCAGGCACTATTTATAAACGTATCTGTAGGACTAGGGCTTCGAGATATACTATTTGAGGCTTTTATAGCACTCAACATATCGCTATTTCTAAGTATAGCAGCACCTACACCTGTACCTACAGCAGTAGCCGCAGCTGTTACTGAAGCTACTGCGGCTATAGTTCCTAATCGCTGGATAGGAGGTAGAGAGGTAGTAGCTTTAATTGTCGCTGCCACAGCAGAACCAGCTGCTGCTCCAGCTCCCATATGCGGAGCCACTTTTTCACCTGCAGCCATTAGAGCTGTTCCGATACCGTCCACAGCTCTATCAAATACATTTTTATTAACTCGGGTAACATAGTAATCCTTATTATCGGAACCTGGATTTACACTAACATTTAATAATTCCTTACTATTATTATTATTATTATTATTATTATTATTTACTTCTGCGCTTTCATTCTCACTATCACTTCCTGTATCCGTATCGCTATCGTTATCGCTATCAGTAAGAGGTTCGCAGTAAACCATAAAATTATTCACATTTAAAATTGAACATAGAGTCATGAACCCTAGGCCTACAACTATTAAACAAATATTTAATAAAACTATTTTTTGTAATAGTCTAATAATAAAAATATTTGAATACTTGAACTTATTTAAAATAAAGCTTGAGATTAAAAAAGATATTGTGAAAGAAGTAAATAAGCTAATTACATCCAAATTTGAATCGACATAAAAATAATAATAAGTAATAGCTATAATTATGCAAATACTAAAATGTGTGAATTTATTGTTAAAGTTTGTCATT